AATAACCATCCGCCCGTGGACGAGACTCTGAGTTAATCACCTTTGACAAAGCAATATAACTCGCTAATCCTAAATTGGGCATATTCAAAACCACGACGATTACCGCAGGCCTCTCATCCCCCAATCCAAGTGCAAAAGTCTTACAACATAAAAAAAATAAGCAGCAAAACACATTCGAAATAAAATAAAAACAAAACACGATCGACTCAGCAGAAATAGAAATACTCGTCCAAACCCTAGTCGCAGAATTCCTCCAAGGCGGCGGTTCTGGAGGTGGGCGGATCAACATCCATTCGTCTTCTTTCACACATAGGCCACCAATGAACCCCAGAAATTTGATTTTCCAGTCCGACAACACGAAGTCGACCACCAGAAACTCCATGCTATCACCAATAGCCATTTGTTTCATCAAAGCTCGTTCCCAAACTGTCAAAGAATAACAGCTCGGCTTCGTCTTCAGCATTCTGCAGCACCCCACCTTCCCCTTGCTAAACCTGTCCCCTGCCAAAATCAGAAGCCTCGAACCCTCCTGAAAGCTTCCTTCCTTGTTTGCTGCTCTTGTAAAGCAGAAAAACCAAAAGCTTCGTCCAGACAGAATCCAGATTCACCACAATTGCAAGTCCGAAAGAAAACAAAAACGAACCAAACAAAACCCCGCGATGACAACAAAACTCAATACCCTGAGAAGATATATGAGATAAGTTGCCTACCGGGGAGAGATCGACCGAACCCACGGGCTGGATATGCCGCCGCCGGAAAAAACCCTAGGACGTGTCTAGGAGACGACCGTGAGGATACGAAACACACTTTTTTCTTTTTTTATGTGAATCGGATCTTATAATTAGATGTTTCTTTATAAAGAAGGTTAATTAATTAATTCTATAAAAAATTGGTTGTGTCTAAAATAAGAAAAAAATGCTTAGATTATAGATGTGAATCAAATGCTCAATTACTTAATTGAGAGCACGATGTGTGAAAACATCATTATATTAACAAAAAATATTGCCTGTAAGGAAGTATTTTGGAATTTAAAAAACTTTTTATTATTTTGCTTTACGATGTTCTTTATTCATTTGAATTTACCTTTTATCTATCATTAATGAAAAATATATGCTTATTGGAGGTAGTGAATAAAAATTAACCACGATTTCAGTCATTTCTCAAATCCAAAGTCATAAACCGGACTATCCAGAGTTAGGTCATTTTTATTATCATTTTGTTTTATTAAGTTCAATTTTCACTGAAAGAGTCCTTGACATGGACAAATTTATTAATTACCCGATTAAATATGTGACTGAGAAAAATAACAGAAATAAAAGCGCACACAATTAAAAATTATGAAACTATATCTATAATTATCTTTAGAGTCAAAGATGGAAGCATAGGGGCCAATCAGGCTCGGCACACCGCACACCCCAAATTTTAAAATTATACAATAGTATGTATTTTTAGTGTAACATTTATCTAAAAATAATCTTTGTACCGATTTACCCTGACCTTTGTTCTTGACTACGTTCTTGATTAGGGTTACTCTAATTATAAATACTTTAAGAATAATATCATCCCGTGCATCGCACGGGTACTATACTAGTTTCCGAAAAAGCAAAGAATTTTTAAAATTAAATTGGTGGCATTTTCGTAAGAACTATGACATTATAAAAATAAAAATAATGGTGATTTAAATATAAAAATTAAAAAAGCAGGGAGGAAACAAAAGTTGAAAAGTGAGTAAGAAAATGCCAATGTTTATAATTTTGAAGTAATAAATTAAAATCAGTAAAAAAATTGTGTGCCACGCTAGCAGGTAACCTGCTGACCGACAAGTTACCTGCCCAAAATAATTTATGATGAAAGTACATAGTAAGAGAGTGTAATGATGAAAGTTAAAGTACAGGGCTTAATTGATTTTCCGTGAAGAGTAGGGGCCAATTTGACACTTTAAAAAACAATACAATGTATTGGGAAAGTTCTCACTTCACAAAATAGGAGTAAAAATGTTTCAGAATTTTGAAATATGACTATAATGTTTTTATTCTCTAAATATGAGTAATCACTGTCAAGTTTGAAAAATACGGTCATTATTATATAGGAAATATAAACATTACACTTCTATTTTTTAAATACGCAAACCTTTTGTTCCGATTTAGGACAATTTGCCTATTGTATTGGTACTTATGGAAAACTCCCTCCGTCCCCTTTTAAATGGGACGGGAGATGGTGGCACGAGTTTTAAGAAAAGTGAGTTTGTGTGGTTGATATTAATTGATAAAATAAGAATAAAGTAAGAATGATTTTGAGCCACACAAAGTTTACCAAATAAGATATGGGACAATTAAATAGGGACATCCCAATATGATAAAACGGGACATTTAAAAGGGGACGGAGGGAGTATGTCATCCTTGAAAAAGTCAATTAACTTGGGACGAATAGTAGCAAATAAGCTTTTTGTATGACCCAAATACATGCAAATCTATAAGCACCCATTTGGTGACGACTCTTTTGATTCAACATTTTTTTATTAAATATTGAACTTTTGAATGGGTAATAAATAAATAAGTAAAATAAAGTATCTTTTGTATGAATCTAATGAAGAAGATACTTTTAGTTTTTCATAAAATTTTCCTTTTAAAGAAGGTCCTAACGGGACCTTCTTCAAATACCTACCTTTTTAGCGAGGGTAATTATAGTGTGGAGTATAATATTTTGACACTATTTGATCCCTTTAAATAAGGCTTATATTGTGTAGTACTTCTTTTGTCCCATTTTATCTCTTTTACTTTTCTTTTTGGGTTGTCCCAAAATAAGTGCAATCTTTCTCTTTTTGTAAAGAAATATGTGATTCACAACATTTCACTTTATTATACTCAAATCTCTACCACAACTTTTACCTTTTCAATCACTTTACTAATAATTGTGTCAAAGTCAAAGGAGACACATAAAATGGGAGGAAGGCAGTAATTTTTACTACTTGAGGATATTCATAAGATTTTCTTTAATTATCAAAGAGAGAACTTTCATTACGCATGCCCAGAAAAGAAATTTATGAACTTTAAATAGGGACGTAACTTTTCATAACTTAATAGATTCTGTTAACTGACGATAAAAAAATAGATTCGGTTAACTGAGCCGCTCAATTGCTCAAGCCTTGTTTTAGAAATTTGAGCAGATTAAATTAATTTAACCAATTCAAATTTATTAATTGGCCGTGAAATAGATTATTTAAAGCACGTGATTTTGAGAAAAAGTGCTTAATAATAAAAGTTGGTGGTACGCATATGTTTCTCTCTAGGGGTTAGGCCCTAGGGTAGCTTTGGGGTTTTCAGTTTTCCTCTTAGACGAAGAACGCCGGTGTGCGGTGTTTTTACTGGGCTGGAGCGAGGAGCTTTCAGGCAAAGGTTACAGAATATTGTTTCGTTTGAAGAGTTCGTCGGACAAAGGCAGAAGATCGAAGGCAGTGTTTCTCTTTGGCGACGGAAGGGGCAGAAGACCGAAGGCAGTGTATTTGCGTTTTGCTTCGCTAATATTTGATGGAAGATTTCGTAGATCGATACAAGAAGATGGCAATCAGAGAGGACATCGAGCTGAATTTTGATGACAAGGTTGACGGAGACCTTGACGTAACCGAGAACAAGGCTGAAATTCCGGTGGTGGGAGTCGTTATCACGGATCGAAAAATCAAGTTTCAGGTTTTGGTAGAGAACATGATGAAGAAGAGGCAAGGTGAGAAAGAAGCTACAGTACTGTTGGATCGTCCCCTTCCTGAACCGCCGCCGTGGAGTGTAGGAGAGTCTAGGGTTTGGAAGCATCTTTTTAATTTTATTGTTTGTTTGCAATTTATTTTTCATGATCAGTCTGTTTATTTTTGTGTTGATTACTTTTATTATTGTAAGACTCTTGCATTAGGATTGGGTGATGAGAGTTCTGCGGTAACCATCATTGGCTCAATTATGCCCGATTTAGTATCAACGAGTTATATTGTTTTGTCAAAGGTGATTAACTCTGAGTCTGGCCCAAGAGCGGATGGTTACGTGTGGTTCTTTTGTTATTTTAACCCCTATGTGAATGCTATAAATTGAATCTAAGCCCCTTCTTCCAAAAAAAGCACGTGGTTTTGGAGCATCCAACTAGGGTAGAAATGGAGCCATAAAAGTGGAAGGGAAGTTCAAAGTGAATCTGTTTCGCAGTACTACACCAAGTTCGGATGGGGTGACAAAAGTTTGACAAATGGAAATCGATCAAAGCATGGGGTCAAAAAGTCCAAAATCAAAACCAGCCAAAACTGACCAATCAAAATAGACCAAATTGGACTTAAATTGACCAATTTTGTTCTATGTTATGCATTTCCAAAACCTCAAGTGACAAAAGAAAAGAAACTAAACCAACCTAGGAACATAACTAGTTTTTGGTATTTTAGGACAGGAATTATATCACTCAAAAAGAGTCATAATCTAGGAAACAGTTTATATACCTCGGAGCACTTAATAAAATTTATACTTGGAAAAATTGAAAATAATAATCCCAACTATTATCGGTCCGCCGACAATAATCCCAACTATTGATTATTTTTGTATAATCCCAACTATATGGACCGTCTGCCAATAATGGTCCATGACTAGATATTACCTCCTACAAAAGGTGATTTTTAAATAGAAATTAAGTGTAAAAATTAAAAGTTGGGATTATTTATAAGGATTACTTGCTATATTTCTTCTCATCCACTTTAAAAACTACAAGAATTTATTTATAGGGACTATTATTGGCGGAAGGTCCCTAAAGTTGGGATTATTCTGAAATAATCGATACTTGGGATTATTATGGGCGGACCGCCAATAGTTGGGATTATTAGAATGAATATTTCCTTTATACTTTTGCATGATTTTCAAAAGGAAGTAGATGGATCATGACTTGATTGCAAACAAATGCACCGGCGCATTAAAACTTGTATCTGCCCAAAATCGTGACATTATTGTGAAACTATTGAATGCTTTGATTTGTTCTCTTGAAAATTATACTCTAAGATTTTGGCATTTCAACTATATTTATTGATCCTGCAAACTACTAATCCCATCAAAACATCCTCCTGCATATATCTTTATCATCCATCCTCTTTCATCTTTCACAGATAAACGCAGATGGCTCAGACTACCCCAAACCACATTCAGACTGTCTCCGGTTGGGCAGCTCGTGACGCTTCTGGGAAGATCACTCCCTTTACTTTCAAAAGAAGGTAACACTAAGCTGGATCCAATCCAATGTTATATGGAGTATATAATATGACATGCCATTTTATACTTACAAGTCGAAAGTCAACGCAGTAGGGAGTTGTACTCCGATACATGATACTCCCTCCGTCCCAAAAAATACTTCTCGGTTATTAAGAAAGCGTTAATAAAGTGAAAATGTGTGTTTGTGGTTGAGTAAAAAAAAATGTAAATGGAAGTTCTTTCAAAAAGGAAAATGTGAAGAATTTTTTAGGACATTCCAAAAATGGTGAGTGAGAAGAATTTTGGTCTTAGAATGTGAATTTGTATCTTTTAAACTTAAAATTTGTGTTCTTTTTTAGTCTTCGAATTGCTCATACAGATGTAGAGGTCAGTTGGTAACTCTTTTATTGATTGAATCGGTTGAATGTACTGAAATTTATGAAATTGTAGCTTAAATGCCGGAATCAGTTGAATTGTGAAAAAAATATATTTAAAAATATAATTTGTTAATAAAATAAAGAAAATTTAGTATGAAAAAAAGGAGGGATCCATTGATTCTATTGTTTATGAGCTGTGAGGTTCAAGCCACAAACAACACACAAGAAAATGTGCACTCTCTAACTAAAAGTACAACTACAAGCAGAGAAAATGGGGCAAAGGATGTGACCATAGAGATCTGGTTCTGCGGAATGTGCCACACTGATCTCCACCACATCAAGAATGATTGGGGCATCACAATGTATCCTGTTGTTCCTGGGTAAATAATATATTTCACAAATTTGTCATGTTCCATTTAACTATATATATCATGCCCATTTTATATTTTTATTTGGCTTTATTTGCTGTGCATATGCTAGGCATGAAATCACTGGTGTGATAACTAAAGTGGGAAGTGAAGTGAGCAATTTCAAGATTGGGGATAAAGTAGGGGTAGGGTGCTTGGCAGCTACCTGTTTGAAGTGTGACTTTTGCAAGGAATCCCAAGAGAACTATTGTGACCAAGTCCAGTTCACATACAATGGCATCTTTTGGGATGGCAGCATTACCTATGGGGGTTACTCCAACATGCTGGTTGCTGATCACAGGTATCTAAGTTCCTTAACTAAACTATCACTTGTTGTGTACAAGAAAGGCTAGACACTAGGCCTTTTTTTTAGAACATACTTGGTTTTGACTATCTAATAACCTGATCAAAATATGGTGAAGTCAGCCTGCTGGTTATTGAGTGTGTTGGGTGTTGTTGAATGTTCTCTGAATGAAGGTATGTAGTGCGGATGCCGGAAAATCTAGCAATGGATAAAGCAGCACCTCTGCTATGCGCCGGGATAACTGTTTACTCTCCCATGAAAGACCACAACTTGATTGATTCAGCAAAGGAGAAGAAGAGGATTGGGATCATAGGGCTGGGTGGGCTTGGCCATGTGGCTGTTAAATTTGGTAAGGCAATGGGTCACCATGTCAGTGTGATCAGCACCTCTCCCTCCAAAGAAAAGGAAGCTAAACACCACTTGGGTGCAGATGACTTTATTATTAGCACCAACCCTGAACACATGCATGTAAGTATATCATACAAAGTAGTACTTCCAAATCTCAATGCTCTAGCAAAGGAACATTATCGTGTAAACTGCAGCGACACGCTCCTATGTGACACATAACCGTTGACCGATAATCAAGTGTTGAAATTTTCATTATGGAGTAAATGTGTCGCATAGGAATGTCTCCCTAAAATTTCATTCATCATCTTCATCATCATTACCCCAGTGCCGCAAAGGCTCCCACCTACGATGGGGATAAGGGGGCTCGAATGTACGCAGTCTTACCCCTACACTGAAGCACAGAGACTGTTTACGGATGACCCATAGTGGAAATCGCGTCGAAAATTAGATATTCTAAATTTTCTCTAAAATATTTTATCGAGTATATTTTTAGGGCCTCTGCAGACCTCCTTTAAGAATACAGTTCTTATCCATATTATAAAATTCTACTACCCTTTTATTTATTTATTTACCAAGAAAAACTAATAAAGTAGCAACCTAATAGTAATAGCTAGGGAGATTTGCTGTTTTAATCATTTCTTGTCCAATATTAGTCCCGTAAATTTTGATTTGACCGCTATTAATCATGTGACTTTATTGTCTTGCAAATTTGGCCCTATAGCTAATGATTTGTCCATATTAAAGAAGTTTTCATCGCAAAGTAAACTTTCCAACAAAAAACATTCTAGAAAAGACGTAGCCAGAGTCGAATTTCTGCTTATAAGAGCGTTTTCCAGTAGAAAAATCCTTAATGATAACAAATTTATTAGTTAGAGGACAAGATTGAAAATGAATAAACTTACAGAATTATAAGTGAACACAACAAAAAATTACAGGATTAAATCTATAACTTTGTCTAATGGCTGTAGTCAAGGAAGAGGACTTTGGACTTCATTTTGGACACAGTGGCAGCCAACCACTCCTTGGGAGATTACCTAGAGCTGCTTAAAGTGAATGGAACTCTGGTGATTGTGGGTGCACCGGAAAAGCCAATGGCTTTGCCTTCTTTCCCATTGATTTTCGGTAAGTTTTTGTTTTGATTGTTGCTTTTGTCAGTGTAATAGAAAAAAACTCTAATAAGTCATCTTTCATCCATTAAATCCACATAGAACAATAGTAGTAGTATTTCAATACTACCTCTGTCTCCAAATATCTTCTCCCCCCAAATGTTCTTCATATTTCCTTTTGAAGAATATTTTTTCCTCATCTTTCTACATCGACAATCATGCATTTTTACTTTGTTAAAAAGTGATCCAATTCAAAGAAAGAAGACACTTTTGGGACATAGGTAGTAGTACGTCAATAGGGGCATATTGCATTGCTTTGGTCTTGATTTTTAGGAAGAAAAATACTGTTTCCTTATATGTGTGTAAATGAGGCATACAAAAGGATGTGTATGTATATAAAAGTACTAGTTAATGAGAAGTAATGACTACTACATTGACTAACAGGGAAGAGAGCTGTGAAAGGAAGCATGATTGGGAGTATGCAGGAGACTCAAGAGATGATAGACTTCTGCGGTGAGCACAACATATTGTGCGACATAGAAATGGTGAAGACTGATGGAATCAATGAAGCCATGGAGAGGCTTGCAAAGAACGATGTTAAGTACCGCTTTGTCATTGACATTGCAGGCAAAACACCAAAGCTCTAGGAATGAATGAATGAATGCCATCAAATCTTTTATAATTTTTTAAGGTTTTTCCCTTTCTACAAAAGCAAAAAACAATCTTTTTCTTTCTGGTGTTACATACGACCCTGATTAATCTCTTGAGCCTCATTGTTTTCTGAAACTGAATAGCCATAAGGTTTCTGACCACTCCTTTTCAACTAGCTTCCTTCTTCTTAAGTTTCCACACAATGATACCAGAACTTTTAGGAACCAACACTATTAGGAATGATATATTATGAAGGTTACAAATATCTCTTTCCTATCATGTTCTAATACAGTAATACTGTATTTATCAGTAACAAATCAATGGAACTTTTGGCTTGATAATAGAATTTCTATAGACGCTTCCTATTGATATATGAACACAAAAGAAAAGTGTTCATTTTCCTGTGGTGGGAATGTTGGAAGAATGAACACTTTTCATTTGACACATCTCCCTTCTTGACACATGGAGAAACAAAGATCTATTGGCACTTTGGCAAGCTCCACTCAGCAGCAACTTCTGATCTGATCTATCTTCTAAATTCACCCTTTTTGCCAAGTTCAAGAAGATCTCACACCAGGAACTGCTTTTTTTTTTCATTTGGATCAATTTCGTAAAATAGCCACAAAATTCTGTTATGTGGTTCAAAATAAACCAACTTTAATGACCTCACTGCACCGAACAAGAAGAAACAAGCAACCCCTTTAATGTTAACCAACTTTAATATTTCTGTTACCTTTTGAAAGACGGGAGGGGGTCAACTCATATTTCTGTTAGCCGATTCTCAAATGCATAAAAAAAGGAAATTGTCGTAAAACATTATTAAAAAAATTAAAAGGTACAAAAGCAGGCAAAACACCACCCCCTATATCCTACATCCGGGTGTAGGTACATCCAGTGGCAGACCCAGAAAATCAGAGTCACGGGGTCCCTAAATTAATATAACTCTTAATAATATAAAATTGAAGAAAAATATCAAGAAGCATAATGTTTCACAGTTAATGTTTTCAACATGTACATAAAACCTGTCTTTTTATTCCACGCTGAAAATCACCAACTTCCCACTCATTTCAAAATGTTGCATCTATGACAATACTATATTCCAACCATTTGTGCTCATCAAATCAACTTGAAACAAACTTACGTTTTTAGCAGCAATTACTTTAAAAAGGAAATCATGATCCCGAGGTTTAAACGACCCTTTTTGAAGTTAACTACGTCATACCTCGTCTTGAACACTAGGATGATATCAGCGTGTTGTTTATGTAGATTATAGGTCAAACTGGTTTCACTTTCATCAAGTACATGATCCGATTTTTTATTTACTAAAGGCGAATTATTGGAATTAATATCTTAACTACTCTCAGTACTTCGAACTTCTTTAAATCTGGGCCGGGTACACTACCGAAATACCTTTTTTCAAAAAAAAACATTCATAAATACATAAATTTGTTACATTAGGTAAAAAAAAATTATAATTAATTAAAAAAATGAATTAATAAGAAGTGGTGGAGGTCTGAGGGAGATACGCTGATGACAATAGATTTGTTGTGGTTTGCGGTTGGTAGGGGTTTAAAAAATAAAAAATGGACCAAAACGACATCATTTGGTGTTTTAAAATGCAGCTTTCATGGACCAAAACAAAATGAGCGTAAGAGTGGATTCAAACCCAATAACTCACGAATCAGAAGGTTTTTAAGCAGGTGCTTGCTCCCATTCCTCTGCTACAGCCATTTGAACTATAATTTGCCTATGTTTTATATATACATTTACCACTTAATATTGTTCAAAATATAAGTAATATATTTTTCGAAGTCCACGGGGTCCCGGGACCCCATGGGACCCTTAGTGGGTCCGCCACTGGGTACATCCAGCCCAACCGATGAAAACAACCCATTAACTAATACGGAGTACATCCCAATTTTTTTCGGTGGCATTTTTGTAATTTAAGCGAAAGTCATGACTTCCGCTAAATGAGCATGCGTGTACTTTTATTGAGCAACTGACATATTCCATTGAGTATTAGGAGGCTAACAATGAGCACCACGATCTCTGCTTCGTATCTCCTAATTCATTTTTTTCTTTTATAAAAACTTATTAATTTATATTTATAATACACTCCTATGAATTTCAATATGCGAATTTAATGTAATATGATACTTTTGAAATATGCATTGATATGACATTTTAAAATGAGTATAACATCAGTACCAAATGAGCATACGTAACTTACAAAATGTTCATTGATATGAAAATCATAAGGTTTGTTAGTTGAACATTACGACATTTTCTTTGAGTATCAAACATCCGCTATTGAAATGAAAATCACGATTTCTGTTGAATGAGCATTAATGAGCTTTTAATGAGCATCAGACCTATCATGTTGAGTATTAAGAGTCACATATTAAAATGAGTACAAAACCAGTGTATCGAATGAGTATACACAATTTACAAAATAAGTATCGAAAAATTCAAAAGTTCCTTTCAAATCTCCAATGGATCAAATATTCACTAATGTTACATCAATGCGCGTTTATTTTAAACGATATACTCATTGTCGTATAGCACAAAACTCATTTTAATAGCCTCCATGAGTACTCATTTTAAAGCATTATATCAATATACATTCCTTGTAAACATTATACTCATTTGAGTATGAGATAAAATTCATTCAAAGGTATATTATTTGCCAATAGCCTTAATATGATTAAATCTTTTACTCAATTATGAGTATATTTTATAACGAGAAATATTAAGAAAAATTATTTTTAATAAGTAGTTTTTTATTCAATGCATCAAACACTAAAATAACTCATCAAGATAAGAATGAACATTCACTTTTGAAAATTTTCCAAACAGTTGATGTGCATTCAATATTTAAGAAATAATTTTAAAAAAAATATGGAGTATTACTAACGAAAGAGGGATAAGTATTTTAATCAAATTAGCATCCCATTATACTTAAAAAGGAAGGAAATTCACTAGAAGTAAATAAAAATTGTTGATATAAATTAAAAAAGAAGGAAAAGAGAAGAAATAAAAGGAATGAAAGGAGAAGAAATAAAATTGATGAAAAGAATGTAGTGGGTGTGCGCATAACGTATGTAGAAATAACGTAAAGCAACCAGGAGCAACATTATTTAACCTTTGGCATCAAAGTTCTATTATATTACAAAAATAGTGGGTGTATATTTACACTCGAGTGTAGCGTATAAATTGCGGCAAAACACCAAAGATCTAGGAATTTCATCACATTTTTATAATAATGTTTTTATTGCTTTTCCTCTCCTACGAAAGAAAAACAGCCCTTTACTTATGGTGTTACATACGACTTATTAGTCTCTCGAGCCTCATTGTTTTCTCAACCTAATCGAGAACAATTCCAACATTCCGCAATTTTTTATGGATTGGGATCCTGTGCCGCACGGCAGAATGTCTTGCGGGAGGGAGGTCGTCAGATGGGAAAAGTCATGCTTCGAGATGCAAACTCCGAAATCTCCTACTGTTGAAACATTGATCGGGCGACTCCCAAAGGCCGGACATGGTGCCTTGCTCGGAAGTAAGGCAGAGAATCTGGATCCATTTTTTATAACAAGTTTGTTGCAGTTGATTAATTCTAAAAAGTCATAAGGTTTGTGATCACTTTCTTTCAACTAGCAAATTACGGTACATCTTGTTGTACTAAGAACCCATTTGGTAACCACGTTTTCAGCTTATCAGTTTTATCAGCCAACTTTTCACCAAACACGTAACTTTTGATTTGGCGCGCTGAATAGTGTAATAATCAAAATAAGTAATGTTGGAGTTACTTTTATAGCTACATTGGCTGAAGTTACTATAGAAGACTATTTTAGCAATTTTTTAATATAATTTTTTCTTTATATTATTAATGTAAAGTATTTTAAATATAATTTTTTCATAAATCAGTAGAATCAGTCAATACAGCCACTTCAGTCAGAACTTTATAAATTTCAACAGAACCAATCGATTCAACTAATTTAAGTGTTATCAAACAGCATGATACAATATGTGTTTTTATAACTAGTTTCACTTTTGAGGGCAATAATTAGGTTTTTTGTTTCTCTTTTCATTCTTTTGCGGCGTTTCTTGTTTTGCCAATTGTAGTTTCTAGTGTGTGTTTCTTCCTTTCTTTTCTTTTACATCCAGAAATCTTAATTTTATACTGTTGATTTTTGCATTTCTTAATTTTATCGTGTAAGTTACAAAACATATATCAAATGACAAAACAATAGGGGACAAGACCTCAATAGGACCAATACATAAGCACGGAACGTAAATGTTGAGTTTAATCCAACACGATATAGTAAATATATGTATAAATGTGTATGAACAACTCAGTTTTTACGTGGAAACCCGAAAGGGAGAAAACCACGGGACTTTTTAGGCTAATGTCCAAGCCCTCTCAATTCTCATTAGGACTCTCCTCACCATTACATAGTACATTTTGAGCTCCCATTAGTGGAGTCTTGTAAGCTATTCTAGAGGAAGAAGGAAGAAGAAAAGATCCTTTACATGGAGGCTAAGCTCCGTATTTATAGGGGAAAGGAGAGAAGGGGCTCCCCACCCTAATGGGCCAAACGGGCCAATATTGGGCCTAAATGGGCCTAGCTGCTCGGGCTCCGTACTGGATGATGTCCTGGGCTTCTGAACAGTAATAGGCCGGGATAATATATCCCAACACAAGTCCCCCAGTTTCTTGAGTAGTGAGCTCGCGAATCTGCTCGAGAAAATATACTCTGCCTGCGCTCTTCCTCTGTCTTGCTGGAAACTGTGTCTTCACATAATCATAATATATGAGTGATTGTTTGCACTCCTGAACGTAATCTGCCGGTGAGGCACCCCCCTTCCCGACGGGGTTGGGCGAAAGGTGCTCCTCCACGGGCACGCTCCCCCTGAATGCATCAGGCGAGAGTAGAGGACCCTGACTCGAGCTTTCCAATCGGAGAAGCTTAGAGGTCCATGCATCTACAACCCAACGTCGCGGTATTGTCAAAACATGATGCACGTGTGTATGTATGAATGTATGAGGTATGATGCATGAATGCATGAATGCATGTAATGTATGAGTGCAATGTATGAGAGAAAGAATGTGAGATGTGATAGAAAGCGGTGGCTCTCATCGATAAATCGGGCATGTCAGCGCCGAGGGGCAGACGTGCTGCATAAGAGACGTTCGTCGCCATCCTGAAAGGGATGGGCGACCCTAACGTGAGCCAGACACGATGGCGCTGGGGCGCTGATCGTGCTGCATAAGAGACGTTCGTCGCCATCCTGGAAGGGATGGGCGACCCTAACGTGAACCAGACACGATGGCG